GTTGCAAAAAAAGTAATGTTATAAAAATATTTTGGCTATATATTTTTTTATAAATATTGCATGCTCGATTATATTATGTAAATATGTAAGAATGTTTTAGCTGAATAAATTGAGACTATAAAAATGGTTATTAAAACAGTATAAAATTTTTAAATAAAATATTGGTTATAATATATATTAATCGCTATTAAACGCAAAGTATTGATTTGAGGGTACATAAATTTTGAGCGCGCAATTATATAGGAAGATTAACTTTGTAACATGAACTATGTCACTTTATGGAATGCATGGAATCATGCATGAGAGAGATTACTAAATTCTAAATTTATAAAATATATATTCAAAATATATATTCAAAATATATATTTTGTAATAAATACTGCTTGATATCTTTTTAATAATGTAACACTAGCAATTGTACAAAAAATGTCGGTCTAATTCAAAATAAAAGTGAAAATTAAAACTACTATATATTTAAAACAACGTAACATTTAAGAATAACAATATTAAAAATAAAATCTTTACTTTATACGAATTATATATTCTCTTAGATTTTATTAAAATTATTATTAATATTGTACTATTAATTATGTATTATTAATATTGTATTATTAATATTGTAATATTTTATAATGTTATATTAAGTATTAGAATTAGTATTGTCTACATGTCGAAATTATACAGCATTCCGTACACACTTGTAATGATAGCATTGATAATTGGAATGAGAGATAAGCACGTGTCTTCTCCAAAATGCGAATGCGATTTTGCGTGAAGACAATCTTGTCACGGTTACTCGGTTGGTTATCTCGACACGAATTTCCAAAATAGTTGTAATTATAACGTCCTCGAGGAGCATGTATATCCGATAGAGGGACACAGTAGGTGCGACAAGCAAACATAGCATGTTCCAGTGATGATACTGGTACTAGATAGTACACTATATGCAACAGCAGAAGTTTAAATGTGCATGCCCGGCAATTTATTCAGTGTAGAAACTATGCAATGTTCAAGAAAACACGAAGTTACAGACTATTTTAATTATATTAAATATATATATATATATATATATATATATATATATATATATATGTGTGTGTGTGTGTTATGATACTTTATTAATTAAAAATTAACCTATTTATTAATTATTATTTTATCTTTTTTTATATGTTGATAATAAATATTTATAAAATGTATATTATATATAAATTCAAAAAGCTATGTATCTTAAAAAAAATATTAAATATAAAAAGATGATATTTAAATAGTATAAAGTCTTACAGTCATACAGTCAACTTACACATTAGATAATAACTTTAGAGATTTATATTTATCGCGTTTTTTAAAAATCAACAAGAAAAATTATGTAATCAAAATTATATCTAATAATGCTAAGTTCGTAATAAGCTTTTGTTAAAAGTGTAATTATCGTCATCGTAATAATAAATTACATTAATTTTAGTTTAGCTATTAATGTTTTTAATTTTTTAAATCCATGTTATTTTTAACTCAATTATATTGGCATTCGTTTTGTCAATGCTGATTAATGTTTATTACTCATTGAAATACGCGTTTGGATATAGTTCCAATTTCGAATCAGGTCTTTAAAATGTTACAATTACTCTCGATTACATGGATTGAAACAAAAACGTTGGGGAGCCGTCTGGTCGGCGCGCTTCATTGTGACCCCAATGTATCTTACCCACCCGCGTATTGACCTACCCCAACTCGGAGCTGCACCATTGAGATGTTGCTCAGCTGCAGTCGCGTCCCTCGAAGGGCTGTGCGTTACGTCATTGCTCATGGTCGACCGTAGTTGGCACGCGGCTTCGCCCTACGCAGACACTCGCGTCTGATTTATGCATCCTATGAGTTCAAGAGAATATTATTCACCGACATGAATGCCAGCAGGATTTTTCTTCAAAGTTTGAAAATTTATAAAAATTAATTTCTCTAAAAAAAATAACTATCAATTTTTATAATAATTTTAACTATATTTGTCTAACATCTATTATATTAATACATTTTCGAAATTAATAAAACTAGATTGAATATTTGTTTATTATTATTTAATTATTTATTTATTATTTATAATATTTTTAAAAAATTTTATTTTAAATACATTAAATAATTTTATTTATTTATTTTTTAATAATCTATTATAATAATTTAAATAAAAGCTTCTAAAAAAATGTTTTTAATAATATATATATATATATATAAATTAAATTATAATCTAATCATATAAGTAACGAATCGAATAGAAGTATCGAAATATATAGTTTACTATTATTAATTTATAACTTTAATAATTGTATTATAATAAAAAATTACAAAATTTTAGAAAAATATAATTATCTAAGGGTTAAAAGCAAGAGTTAAATTTCTAAACAAATAATTATTTGTTAAGTTTTAATATTAAGTTAATTATCTTGAGAATCTTACAGATATAAATAAAAATATTTATATAAAATTATGAAAAATTGTGAATATATGTTGTTATGCTATTATTTATAAAGAAGAAACTTGTACTTTTGTCTTCTTTCATAAAATTTAAGAAAATTTTCTCTTGTTTATTTATATTGAATGTAAAAAAAATTATATGTATTCATTCTACAATAATAATAAATAATTTTTCGTAAATTTTTTGTGTAGATAACTTTTATTTATCCTATTTTTTTTAAAAACGCTATTGCACTTTGTTATTGCATTCTTTTTATGTGCTGATGCCTACGTAAAATTTCTGAAAACATTCAAATCGCCTCCATTTTTTTGTCTGAAGTTCCGAAATAAAATTATCGACATATGTCAATTCTAAAAAATTTTGATGGCATTTATAAATAATAGTATCGTTACCACTGCACAATTGTTATTTTTCTTGCATGAATTTTGATTTTTGAATACTGACAATTTCTATATTGGGAATATTATAAAAATTTTATATTTTCCTCTTTTTATTTTGATTAAGTAAACATCTATTTGAAGCGGTAAACTAGATTGAGCCTAAATATTAATCTTTTACAGATACATATTTATTGGAATCTCATTCAGCATATATTGCAATTGAAATAAATATTTCATGAAAAATTAGATATATCCAAAACGTAATTGTGTTCATATATATTACTTGTCAATTAAATAATGAGCTATTATGTGTATTTTTAGTTTTCTCTGCTATTGTTCATAAAAAATATTGATTTATCCTCTTGCTTAAATTTTGACTCTAAAATTTTTTTTATATAAAATATATTACTATTTTTAAAATTATAAACAAAATTACTTTGTATATCTTAAACGAAATAAAGTATCATTAAGCATATATATATATATATATATATATATATATTTATTTTTTTACTTTTACTAGTAATATATATA